CCCTCCCCCACACCCCGGGACAGTCTAGTCAATCTCCACTGCACCGTGTCAAGGAGCCCCACCTCAATCCTAAAGTCTGGGCGAGGACGTAACGCCCCTATTGTGGCCTGGGTCAGTTCGAGATTGACAAAGACACAGCAGGCCATCGGAACTGAGAGAGAAGAGAGAGAGACAGCGCATGCTTCTGGCCTGACTGCACGTCCCCGGCTGTAAAATCCCCCTTCCCTGACCCTCTCCACGTTTCCCACCTTGACCTACAAACTTCGAACATCGGTCGTATCCAAGGTTCAGGCCGCCTTTCCGATTATCTAACTACGCGACTCCGGGTGAAATGTTTTGACGGATCGGGAGGCTGTGAAGCACCATGGGAATTTTTTTTTAACTGCGGTACGGGCCGTACGCCAATACAAGTCACTGCGCTCAACCTGCCTTTCCTCAACTATTTCCTGTCACATTGACATTTGTTTTACACGAGTGTGGGCAGGAAGAGTTGGGGCGGGGGGGGGAAACCATTGCCACCAATTATGTCACAAGAAAAAAACATCGGACAATGATCTGCATAGGACGGTTTGAAAAACACGCGCGGAGTTTGCATCCCTGCGACATGCCGATGATGTTCGTTTTGACATCCGTTTTGCCCCAGATGAGATGCCTGATCCTCCGCTCAGCGACCACCCCCACCCCCACCCCCACCCCCCCGTTAGGTTTGCCAATCAATCACTTACGGTGCAGTTGCTCTCCGTGGAGTAGACAGAGCAGGTCCGTAGCAGCTTGTGCTCCGGCTCGGAGTAATCGCTGTCCACAGAGCAGGCATCGGGAGGGATGGCGTAATCGCTTTCGGAACTGACCGAGGACATCGAGACCCCTGCAGGAAAGGACAGACACACCGGTGACATTTTTCACCCCACCCAACCACCACCATCACTCTACTCGTAATCCGCTTCAACCACATCCAAGTCCATGCATCGACTGTGGACAGTTCAGGAAGGAATTGGAGGTTAGGGACAGGAGGCGGCTTCATAAATCCAAAACTCAACTGGGCTCATCGTGTGGCTACAAGAGCAGGTCAGAAGCTAGGAATACTGCGGTCAGTAACTCACCTCCTGACTCCCAAAGCCTGTCCACTATCTACAAGGCACAAGTCAGGAGCGTGATGGAATACTCCCCACTTGCCTGGATGAGTGCAGCCCCAACAACACTCAAGAAGCTTGGCACCATCCAGGACAAAGCTGCCCACTTGACTGGCACCACATCCACAAGCATCCAATCCCTCCACCACCGACGCTCAGTAGCAGCAGTGTGTACTATCGACAAGATCCACCGCAGAAATTCACCAAAGATCAGCAAAGAGGATTGGTGGCAGCACTGTAATCCAACCAGAAGCTGCGAGTGGTTGGAATCGCAACATGCCACAAATACGGACAACAAAATCCAGTGTCCAGGGTCATTGCCAAATGGATTAGGCCAGCTCTGAAACTGGGTGACCCACCTTGAACAAATCTGCACTGTATCTAAGCGCAAGGTCTCTAAAAGCCTCCTGCTGCTTGGGGTACATAAGTGCCCATGTTTGGGATATCTGCCTCAATAATCTGGGCCAGGAGAAGACTCTGACAGATTATCGCACACCTGCATGATGGATGTGCTCTCTGGAATGGGCTTTGTCCGGGATTGGGTGGGGGGGGGGGGGGGGGCACATCCGCAAATGGATCCCACTGCTCCATGTCAAGATCAGTAACGTAGTTGCGATAAATGAATGGGAACTAGGAAGCTTCCCGATCAAACCTGGAGTCAGGCAGGGCTGCCCTCGCTTGCTTGTCCCATTCAGCTGTTACATAGAACCTATTCTCGAGAAGCTCAGGAAGGATGGGAGCTTAAGAGCGGTGACAATCCCAGATAGTGGGGGCTCCATGACTCCCTGTCCACGGACAAAGTCATCGTCCTCTAATTGGATCCACTGAAGACCATCTGCAATCAGCTTAGACTGGGGCTTCAGATACATTGAAGTAATAGCGAGGCCGTGTTCTTCTGGAACTGGGCCAATCGATGCTTTGTCCCCTTCAGCATCAGGTCAGGTCACCTGAAGTTGCCAGGGATATGTTTAGGAGCAACTGGGCATGTGCATCTAAAAAAAAACCTGAAGGGGCGAGTAGATAGAGGGAAACAAAATATGGGAATGTAGGAGATAACACAGCGTGGAGCTGGAGGAGCACAGTGGGCCAGGCAGCATCGGAGGGGCAGGAAAGCTGACGTTTCGGGTCAGGACCCTCAGGAGTTCCCTCTCCTTTGTGGGTCGAAACCCAATTAACCGTGTCGCTGCACGTGGCATACGTCAGCTTGAACTTCGTTCCTGAGCTGTGGTGACCGCCCAAACTAGCTTCTGTTTGATCTGGAGATTGGAAATGGCCGACCAAAATGGCGCCCAAACGTCTAGCCAAAGTGGGGGTGGTGGGGGTTGGGGTGGGGTTTGGGGTGGGGGTGGGGGGGGTTGGGGGGGGGAGGTGGGGAGGGATAAAATACGCCCAATGTTGGTCCCATCCAGACGTGTTCTTGCGACACAACGCTGAGGTTCTCCCAGTCTCTGGGGATGTGAAGAATGGTTCCGGCCATATTGCTGCAGGATGGTCCACGTGGTGCGCCATCTCCCACCACCTCCTGGTGAGGCTCGTGCAGGGAAAGGCCTTTCAACACATAGCGGTCCGCAAATTGCGTCCTTGACGCTCTCCAGGGAAACAGGCTGGTTGATCCCGTCGGATGGCACCCCGAGCAAACCATCAAAGCTTCGCGGCCGAATATTTCGTCGCCGGAATCCTCGGACAAGGACGCAGCTAGGCTGGTAGTGAGGAGGCCCCTCACCTTTAACCAGATACTTTGTGCATGGGCACTGCCCTCAAGCCTGCAGCGATGGGGAAGTGATCCTTGCCCACCTCCTTGTTGAGTCTGCCTTTGCGAAGGAGGCCTGGATAGGACGCGCTGGGTTTTGTTGGGGTTCACCTTGAGCAGCTCTGTGATTCCATTCGCTACGGCTGTTCCCAGGGACGCAGGCCGAGAGAAACAACAGTTGCGTATGGAGGACCATCAACACATTTCTCTGCAAAGCTGCTGGTTTTTCAATGCCTGAGTCGTCCCTGACCAAGAGATGCAGACAGACACATTCCAAAATCCAGGACTACGTGCTGAGGGACATATTGAAGCTTAGGGCAGCCGCCGCACACGCTAATTAATGCCTTTAATTAGCAACGGGACTTGGCCTGTTGCCACAGGTATCGCCCCAGCAACAGGCTGGTGGTGGGGGCGGGGGGGGGGGGTGTGGTTGATGGGGGATGGTATGTGGTGGGCAGCCTCACCTTGCAGACAAAATGGCTTCCAGACCATCAAAGGGTTGCTCGCAGTCCCGTGTTCAAAGTACTTTGATCAAGCAACTGGACACCCCCACTCCACCATTCCCATCCGCCCGCCCTCCCCTCCCCTCCCCTCCCGATGGGGCTGCTCAGTAGGCCAGAGGCCCTGAACGATCCTCAGGGTGGACCCCTCTCGACGAGGACCTTTTCAGCATCATGTCTGGTGACCCTCCTTCAGAGTAAAGCCAATTGTCGCAATGCTGTTTGTGGGAGCTTGCTGTGTGCAATCCAGTTGCCATGTTTCCAACAGTGCAACACGGACTTGCTGTGAAACACTTCACGGAGTCGTGACTGGTGCTACGTAATTGCAATTTATCGTCCTTCTCCCTTACTCGCTGAGGGTTTGGAAAAATGTGAGGTACTGCATCTCAGTAATACAAGCAAGAACGGGACTTGTACAAGGGCCCTGGGTAGTGTTGTAGAACAGAGAGACCAGGTACATAATACTTTGAATGTTGCGTCACAGGTAGACAGGACGTTTAAGAAGGCATTGAACACACTTGCCTTCAGAACTTTGAGTATAGGAATTGGGAAGTCATGTTGAGGTTGTACAGGACATTGGTGAAGCCTCTTCTGGAGTACTGTGTCCAGTTCTGTTATAGAAAGGATATTATTAAATTGGAGAGGGCTCTGAAGAGATTTATGCTGGGAATGGAGGGTTTGGGATACGAAAATAGCCTGGAAAGAGTTTTTTTTCCACTGGAGCATAGGAGGTTGAGAGTTGATCTTATTGAGGTTTATAAAATCATGAGGGGCGTAGAAAAGGTACATAGCAAAGGTCTTTTCCCCAGGGTGGGGGAGTTCAAAACTAGGGGGCATAGGTTTAAGGTGAGAGGAGAAAGATTTAAAAAGGACATGAGGGGCAACTTCTTTTAACACGGAGAGTGGTTCGTGTGTGGAATGAACTGCCAGAGGAAGTGGTGGATGCGGGTACAGTTACAACGTTTAAAAGACATTTGGATATGTTCATGATTAGGAAATGTCTGGAGGGATATAGGCCGGGGGCGGGCATGTGGGACTAGTTTAGTTTGGAAACATGGGTCAGCACGGTGCAGTTGTTTCCGTGCTGTATGACTCCGCGACTAATGCCAGCCTCTGGGATTCCCATCCCGACAACTACCTACCTCTTTTCACAGCTCGGGGGCTCCCGGGTCCGCTGTTTTTCCTCGGCTCCGGTCCCACGGCAGACGTTCGGAAGCTGGCTTGGGAACTGCTGTCGTCGTCGGATCCCGAGGACTCGTCCGGGAAGGGAATGTTGCTGATCTGCGTGGCTTTCTGCGTCAGGAAGGGAACAGATCAGCCGCTTAGTTCAGTTCTCGGGCAGACCGCAGCGCACCCTTAGCTGAGCTCCCGATGGAGGCCCCAGGACCTCTGAGCTGGCGCTGAGACCAGGGGCAGTGAAATATCCAGGCCGTGTCTCAGGGCGGCCTGCAGAAAAGGTCTGAGCCAGACCCAGGATAAAGCCAAAAAACAAAAGCGTGTCTCTTTCACCTCCTTTGGGAGCTTCTAGTTGTAAAGCTGCTGAACTGGGGGGAAAGTTGGCTCTTAGGCAGCGAATTGTTCGATTCGAGGGACACAGTGTGCGTGGAAAGGCCACGCGCCCCAGTGGGCCGACCTTTCTGGTGGAAGTCAGGGACAGGACACTTTCTTTCCCGCTTCTGGCCTGGTGCTGGCTGGATTGAGAGGCTAAATAAAACCCGAAAGAACTGCAGACGCTGTAAATCAGGTGCAAAAACAGAAGTTGCTGGAAAAGCTCAGCGGGCCTGGCAGCATCTGTGAAGGAAATAAACAAGAGTCAATGTCTCGGGTCTGGCTGAGAGGCTGCTGGGAAGGGAGGCCTACAGTGCAAGGCTGCAACCAAGGGCTCGGGTTTGTGGAGGTCGGGAGGGGTGCTGTCTCCAACAGTCACAGCCTGTTGTGGGTCAGGTTGTCCTTTTGTTTTCAATAAAAAAAGAGAATTCAAACCAACCCAACCAACCACCTTTTCTTGCGGTGATAATACCTTCCCCACAGTCGGTGCCACAATATATATCTGGATGTTTCACAAGGTGATTCTAAGGCAACAAGGGCTGCCTCTCCAGCAATACAGAGCTGTTACCCACAACAAATGGGAGTAATGTCCATTTTTAAAAAAATGTTTTAAGTGTATTCTTTCATGGGGGGAGTGTAGCATCAATGTGAGCCGTTGTTGCCCCATCCCAAGTTGCTCTTGAACTCTGTGGCTCTCTGGACCACTTCAGAGGGCAGCTGAAGTTAACCACATCGCTCTGGGTCTGGAGTCACTTTTTTTCATTTTTTTTTTAAAAATTCATTCACGGGATGAGGGCGTCGCTGGCTAGGCCAGCATTTACAGTTCATCCCTAATTGCCCAGGGGGCAGTTAAGAGTCCAACACATTACTGGAGTCACACATAGGCCAGACCAGGTAAGGATGGCAGCTTCCTTCCCTAAAGGGCATTAGTGAACCAGATGGGTTTTTCCGACCATTGACAATGTATTCACGGTCATCATTAGATTCTTCATTCCAGATTTTTTTAATAGGTTTCAAATTCCACCATCAGACATGGGGGGATTCGAACCCAGGTCTCCAGCACATTTTCTGTGTCTCTGGATTAATAGTCTAGCAATAATACCACAAGGCCATTGCCTCACACTGACAGACTAACCCAAATGCTATTGAAGACCAGATGAAGACAGCGGTTTCCTTCCCTAAAGGACATTAGTGAAACCAGATGGGTATTTTCAAGCTTTCAACTCCAGATTTATTTATTGACTGATTGTAAATTTCACCAGTGGCCCTGGTGGGATTTGAATCTCTCGAAGCCAATCCTCTTGATTTAAAGTCATGGTGCAGTGTAGAATCATAGAATCCCCACACTAACTCCGAACAGCATCCCACCCAGACCCACCTCTCTACCCTATCCCTGTAATCCTGCATTTCCCATAGCTAACCCACCTAACCTACACATCCCTGGACACTAAGTGGCAATCTAGCATGGCCAATCCACCTAATCTGCACATCTTTGGACTATGGGAGGAATCTGGAGCACCCGGAGGAAACCCACGCAGACACGGGGAAAATGTGCAAACTCCACACAGACAGTTGCCCGAGGGTGGAATCGAACCCAGGTCCCTGGCGCTGTAAGGCAGCAGTGCTAACCACTGAGTCATCCCAGAGTGTAGCCTCTCATTCATGTGGAAACGCCTCGTGATCAGTTTGTGTGTCAGATCACACGAGAAGAGAATTCCTTTCGCACTATTAGTAAACCACACAAGCAAATGTTTGACCATTGACATGCTGGGCGCTGTTGGTAACCATTATGTTTAAGTGAATCCCTAAAGGATCAGGCAGTGTTCTCACTCCTGATTGCTAACCAGCGAATCCTTTCAAGAAAGTATGTAAGAGGTAAAAGGAAATGGGGTCGTTTCCTTATCCACCACCTTCAGTATTCACTGCCTCCACCACCAATGCACAGGGTCAGCATTGTGTGACTATACACTGGGCGCACTGCAGACACGAACACAAGTCCATCAACAGCTCCGTCCAAACCCACAGCCTCTATTTCTAGAAGGACAAGGGCAGAAGATGCTTGGGAAAGCCACCAGCTGCAAACCCCCGAAGTCAACGACCATCCTGATTTGGAAATGTATCGCCATTCCTTCAGTGTCCCTGGATCAAAATCCTCAACTCCCTCCCTAACCTCATTATGGGTGTCCCTACAGTCTGCAGTGGTGCAAGAGATATTTTGATTTTGATTTGATCTATTATTGTCACATGTAGCTGGGTACAGTGAAAAGTTTTGTTTTGTGTGCAGTACAGGCAAACCATACCATGCAAAGTGCATTACGGTAACAGAACAGAGCGAGGAATACAACGTTACTGCTGCAGAGCAGGTGCACAAAGAGCGAGATCAGCATTAAACTTAAAATTTGAGAGGTCCATCCAGAAGTCTCATAACAGTGGGGAAGAAGCTGTTATTGAATCTGTTGGTATATGTGTTTAGGTTTTTCTATCTTATGCCCGGTGGAAGAGGTTGGAAGAAATTATAACCGGGGTTGGAAGGGTCTTTGGTGACGTTGGCTGCCTTCCTGAGGCAGCGAGAATTATAGATGGAGTCAATGGATGGTTGGCTTGTGTGATGGACTGGACTGTGTTCACAACTCTCTGATCCTCGCTGTGACTGTCTCGAAGCAGAATCAAAGATGGGCAGCAAAGTCCAAATAAATGCCTGCTTTGCAATAGCCTCAGCACATTAGTGATTCTCCATTCGCCTAACAAGATGAATAGCTTTCCCAGTGACAAGCTTACAAAGCGCTTGGGAAGTAGTAACATAGTTAAAGCATTAACGTGGGTTACGTCCAGTCAGCAAACCTTTTGCAAACCAGCTTATTGCCTTACCCCTTTCAGAGTGGTGTAGACAGGAACTGTCACATTCTTGTATATGAGATGAGTGAAAGGCCCAGAGGTTAGACTCCCAGGAACGTTTGACACTAGAGAGCAGAACAGAAAATTACCACAAGGTTAATAGTGCAAACGTTAAGAGCTCGGTTCACACAAATGAAGGGGAGCTCTCCTTCAATTTCCAGCCAAACTCTCACCTCACCTGCTTCTCTGAGGATCAAGAAAATAATTTGACTGAGTCAGGCCTTTTCACATCCATCAGCCTGTTCAGACCAAACCAGTTCCGGCCAAAAGTCGGGATGGGGTTCTGGTTTTACATCACCCGTGGGACCTTGATTTCTGTATTAAAAAGGGGCCTACTGCTTGCAACAGCTGGGCACTTCTAACACTCGACAGGAGGTCGAAACGGAGCTAGCTACACTGCTCCTGTTAAACCTAGCTGCCGTCCCACCCAACATCTGTCAATGTTGAACAAAGGCCGCTCAGTTTGGGAGACTGCGTCCCACTTCTCACGGAGTGAGTTTGGAATTGCAATCGGGCCCTCAGTTTGGGTGCGACAGTGTTGGGGCTGGCTGTGAGGCTCTATTTTCAGTGACGGAGAATCAGAGGAGGCCGAGACACACTCGCTGGTGCGTTAAACAAACCCTACCGGAGAACAAGCCGAGATTCTTGTTGGCGCTAAGTAGGAAAAAGTGGGGCCTGAGAGGAGAGGGTGCTGCAGGCCTCATCCTTACTCACAGGCCTATACCCCCCTCCCCTGACCTCAAAGCGACAAAGTAAACTCCGACGAAAAGCAGGCTGATTCTGTTGAAGTGGAGAATCCTTCATCTTCCCCATCCCCCCGCCCCTCCTGTCGTCTCTTTGATCCCTTTGAACCCTCTTCAGATCCAGCAACCCTGCCTTCTGTTTATTTAAGGCTTTGAAGCTGATGCTGGTGAGGATTTACCAGTAAACACAGGCTTTAATTACTGGGGGTGGGGGCATGGGGAAAGACCCTCCTTTGATCAGAGCCGCACGGGGTGTGTTGGGGAGGGGGTTGCTGAGCGGGGAACTGCCACTCCTGTTACGCATCCAAGGTGCGGTGTTCTCTCCTGGGCTGACAGCTGCGCAGGTGCCAGCGGCAAAACGCTGATACGCAGCCAAATGAAGGGGGCTCCCCAGCTGCACGGGTAGAGGTCTCAAGGAGGCCCCCAGGCCCACTTCACTCTTCGCAAAGCCACTCCTCGCTGGAATTTCTGTCATGGCCTGGCGACTGGGCCCAAAGAACTGGAGTCCTGTTCTTTGGGAGTTCAGGTGAGGGGCAGGGGGCCTAGGATTGGATTGGCACCGGGTGATGTGGTCGGTTTGGGTGGGTGCGGGGGGGGCCTGTCATTTCTGACCCTGCCCTTTGGATTTCGTCACATAACTCCTCACAACCTCTGACTTCCTCCTCCTCCACCTCTGGCAGAAATGGTTGAAGAACACGAAACCTTTTGTTTCTTCCCCCAGAAAGAGACGCCCCCAGTTTGACGTCTAACTTTTAAATCGGGTTCAAGGGTTACAGGGGGGTGTGGGCAGGGCAGTGGAGCTGAGGCCCAGATGAGAGGCGTCACGGTGGCTCAGCGGTTAGCGCTGCTGCCTCACAGCGCCGGGGACCTGGGTTCAATTCCACCCTTGGGCGACTGTCTGTGTGGGGTTTGCACATTCTCCCTGTGTCTGTGTGGGTTTCCCCCGGGTGCTCTGGTTTCCTCCCACAGTCCAAAGATGTGCAGGTTAGGTGGATTGGTCATGGGAAATACAAGGGTTACAGGGAGAGGATTGGGGGCGATCCTCTTCGGAGTGTCAGTTGGACTCGATGGGCCAAATGGCCTGCTCCCACGCTGGAGGAAATTCTAGGAGATCAGCCACGATCCTTTCGATGGTCGTTTGAGGGACTGAACAGCCTGCTTCTGCTCCTAGCTCTTATGTTTTCAGTTGCTGAAAATTCCAGGGAGATCCTGGAGGATTGGCAACTCCACACCTCATCTCTAACATAACGTTAGAGTGGGCCTGCATGCAATATGCTGATGGGAACATATCAGCATGCACATACATGAAGGTGGGGAGCATAAACCACTTAGTTAGTCCATTTCTACACGAAATGGCACGGAAGTCTGCCTACATACACATCACCGCCAGCCCTCACCACGTCGCACACGACCCTGAAGTCTTGGGGCCCCAAGCCCTGCTCTTGCCTCTGGGAGCTGACACTCACAGTGCAGTCCTGAGGGAGCGCTGCGCTGTTGGAGATGTCAAGCCAAGGCCCCCCGATCACACTCCCTCTCTGTCCGACGATGTAAAGATTCCAATGGGGAAGCGGGAGGGAAACCGCATCCCCTCCCCCATGTCAGAGGTTAAGGATACACCTCAGCAGGGAATGGAGCTGACTCCTGGTTTAACGATAAAGGACCCTCATGCCCACCCGATCGAGCTCACCAAACAAGGCATGTCGTCTCCTTGACCAACTTCACTTACATCTCTTGGAGGAGCTGCTAGCCAGGGTCACCTCCGACATTCTCATGCCAGACTTGGCCAGGGCGTATATTCGACCTTCCTGTAAAACACAGGCAATGGTGGGGTGCGGGGAAGAAAGAGTTGGAAATCAGTTCCCATGTACAAAGCTTAAATGACTAACCCCAATCAGGAGTAAGGGGCAGAGAAGAGTCAACTACTAAATTTGCAGGCGTGATCAGAATCGACTTCATTTGCCATGGCACAGTGGGGTACTGTGTTCATCCTGGAGCGAAGAGGGTTGACGTGCAAGTCCTGGACCTGAGCACAAAATCTGGGGCTTACCTTTCCACGGTGCAGTATAGAGCACGGTCAGATTGCGCGACATTAAAGGGAGCGTTTGTCTGCCCTCTCAGGGCGCTGCTGAAAGATTTCCTGATGTGGCCGGTCTGACCGACCAGGCAAATGCCACCCCAACACAATCACCAGCAAGCTTTTGATCCATCCCATCCCATCCCAGGTAGGACCGCTGCCAGTGGCCAGGTTTCCCATTGCGAGTCACTGCTGGTGGACCCTCTTCGAAGTTCTGGTCTCCTTATTTGAGGAAGGATGTTCTTGCCACGGAGGGAGTGCAACAAAGGTTTACCAGACTGACTCCTGGGATGGCAAGGCCGATGTACGAAGAGAGACCAGATCAGTTAGGACTATATTCACCGGGGTTTAGAAAAATGAGGGAGATTCTCATGGAATCCTACAAAATTCAAACAGGAGTAGACAGGGTAAACAAGGATGTTCCCAGTGACCAGGGTTTCGCAATCCAAGGATACACGGTAGGCCAGTTAAGACTGAGATGAGGAGATACTTCTTCAGCCAGAGAGCGGTGAGCTTGTGGAATTCTCTGCCGCAGAAAATGGTTGAGGCCAAAACATTGAATGTTTTCAAGAAGGGGTTAGATATAGTTCTTAGGGCTATACCTGGTCGTATTTTCCGTGTTTCTGTGTTTACTCCACTCCCATCAACTTCCCACTGTCAAAGACTTTGGGCAAGGCTGTACAAAGAGCAGTACATTGTTTGTGATCAAGAACTCGGAGGTGATTGGATTGTCCTCTGACCTTCGAAAGGAAAACAAAAACGGTGGAAGCATGGGGAAGGTGCTGGGAATTGTGCTGATCGGAGAGCTCCTCCAGATAGTTAGCACTAGCACAATGGGCCAGATGGCCTCCTAACATGCTGGTTATGAAAAAATAAGAACAGAAAGAGTAAAAGGGTTGGAGAAACAAAGATCTCGTACTGAGCAGAACAGTAGAGGAAAAGTATTGAAGAAGAATGTTGTGATTGGCTGTATCCTGGGTTGCAGAGACGTCGAGAAAGACCGGCTAGTACAACATATCACTGTCATAGTCGCAAACATGTAGTCGCATTTGTGACTATTTCTGCACACGCTATAATTTCCCCCGTCTCCATGTATAATGGAAACTGCTATGTAAACATGTCATGCTGTAATTACACCTGCCCACCACTGGTGGCGACATGACATGCCAGGTGTGTCTATCCTGGCTCCACAGCCTTTACAGCAGGGAAGCTGCCTTGCTCCTGATAGCTTGACTTCCTGATTTGGTGCACATTTTAATACTAAATTATAGACAGCATGATATAAAGATTACTGTCGAGTGGACAGCATCAAGATGACAATTGAATTTTTCAGGGTAAACTTCCTGCTCCTGCACCTACAAGGACACTGATGGGAGCTTTGTTCCAGTTTTCAGAAGGAATATTGGAGCTTCCCATCGAACAACTGGTGGAAGGATCGGATCAGCTAATGTCCTCCAATTCTGGCTTCCACAGGACCAGCTCTACTCTTTTTGGAGGGGGGTGGGATTTCTTTCTTGACCTCTCTGCAACCCTTGACTGCAGCAGTCAACTGCATCTTCCTTCAGGGTGATGCAGGGCTCTGGAGTGCCAAGGGCTGTCACCACAGGAGAGCGTCTGGAGTCACAGACGTCAAGCTAAGTGACAGGAAAACTCGAGGGGACGCGAGGAATAATGTTTTTATGCAGAGGGCGCCTGGAATTCACTGCCTGAGTTGGTTGGTGGCAGCAGAGACCCTAAACCCTATTAAAAAGTATCTGCACCTTAAGTGCTGCAGGGCTACGGGCCAATGTGCAGGAAGGTGGGGTTAGAAAATGTCTGCGTCGCGATGGGCCAAATGGGTCCCCTTCCGCGCTGTATCATTTCTGCGGTTCAGCTCCCAAAATGGGGCGAGGTCAGAAATCACACAACACCAGGTGACAATCCACCCCAGTCCAACAGCGGCACCTCCACATCATCAAAGTGTGACGATTAGTGAGGTCCAAATAAATCGTTGTGTACGTGCTAACGTGCGCCTCACTGCTCTTTAAGTAAAGTTCGAGGCAATTTCCCAGTGAAACGCAGACATGTAATCCCAGTACTTCAGAGATAGTAGGAACTGCAGATGCTGGAGAATCTGAGACAACAAGGTGTAGAGCTGGATGAACACAGCAGGCCAAGCAGCATCAGAGGAGCGGGAAGGCTGACGTTTCGGGTCTGGACCCTTCTTCAGAAATGGGGGAGGGGAAGGGGATTCTGAAATAAATAGGGAGAGAGGGGGAGGCCGATGGAAGATGGATAAAGGAGAATGGTTGTTTTCCTGTGGCGTGGAAATCCATTTATGGATTCGGGCATTCTTCTCTGCAAAGGTGGAATGAGTAATGTGTCCCAGTCACAGCCTCACGCAGCACTCCGCCTGAGAGAAGGCCCCTCTGGGTTCAGAGGGGGAATCTCTACCAGGGGATGAAGCTGAGGGGAACTGGAGGCTTGGAGCTGGTGGGACTGGCTTCAGGATGCTGGTGTGTGATACAGAGACACTGGAAAATAGGAGCAGCAGCAGGTCATTCGGTCCTTCCAATGCGCTCCACTATTCAATGGCTGATCATCCAACCCAGTCCCCTGTTCCCGCTTTCTCCCCATACCCTTTAGCCGTAAGAACTACATCTGCTTCTTGGAAAACATTTAGTGTTTTTGCCTCGACTGCTTTCTGTGGCAAAAGAATTCCCGCAGGCTCACCGCGCCCTCCTCCATCATAAACGGCCTGGCCTGTGTCCATAAACTGGGACTCACGGCTCGAGACACCCTGGTCATCAGGTCATCGTTGCTTCCTGCAATGAGAATCACAGAATCCCTACAAGTGCGGAAGGAGGCCACTTGGCCCGTCAACTTCACACTGACGCTCCGAAGAAAATCCCACCCAGACCCATCACTATCCCTGTAATCCTGCATTTCCTGTGGCTAGCACATCCCTGGGCACTATGGGTAATTTAGCATGGCCAATCCACCTAAGCTGCACATCTTTGGACAGTGGGAGGAAACCTAAGGAAACCCACGCAGACACGGGGGAGAATGTGCAAACTCCACACAGACAGTCGCCCCAGGGTGGAATCAAACCCGGGTCCCTGGCGCTGTGAAGGAGCAGGGCTAACCGCTGAGCCACAGCACCATCCCATTCGAATTGTTTCTATGAGATCGCCCCATCCTTTCTCCTAAACTCCAGCGAATACTAGAGTCCTGCCCTCTCAGGCATCAGTCTGGTAAACAGTCCTGAGGTAAGGAGACCGAAACTGTACACAATATCCGCATCCCACCACCACCAACCCGCCCCACACCCCGAAGTTGGCCCAGTGGGGCAGTGTGAAGGAAATTTCCTCTTACCCAGGAGGGCAAACGATGCAGGGGGGGAGGCGGAGGTTCGTTCCTGGAGGAGGAGCTTTCCGAACCCACCGAAGCCTCTTTCGACGCCGGTAGTGACAGCGGTGGTGGTGGTGGTGACGGTGATGGTGGGGACGGGAGGGAGCCGTCCCGGGCCAGGGAGCCTTCGCACTCTTCGGTGTCCATCCGCTCAGGAACGTCGTCGATGTCCGTCTCCTGGACCCGGGCGGGGCCGGCCGGCTGGAAGGCGGGGCAGACGATGTCAATGCGGATGAGGCGGTGGGGCCTATCGGAGGCCCCGGCCTGTGGCTGGCTGAGGTGTTTCTTCGCCAGCTGGATGCTGTCCCTCGGCGCCAGCGGCGTCCTGGCCTTGGGCAGGGTCATGCTGGTGACCACGGGGCCCTCCCTGGCCGCCAAGGCTGGCAGGGTGGGCCTCGGCCTCTGGGTGGCGCCGTCACCGGATGTCGGTGCTGAGCAGCCCTTGACCACCGCCGTCTCCCGGGCGGCCCGCAGCGGGGGCCTGACCTCGGGACCGCCTCCGCCGTCCCCCTCCAGGCCCAGAGCGGGCTCCGGGGGGCAGGCCTCAGGCCGGAGCGATCTGCTCCCCGCCTCGGCCCGGCCCTCCTCCCCCTCCGTGGCAATCCGTCCAGGCCGCTCCTCCCCCTCCTCGGCGCAGGGCTCTTCACCCGCCGCCGCGGGCCAGGACAGAGCCACGGGGGCGGTTTCGGGGGCCCCGCCCGCCGACGCATCGGCTCCCGGTCGCTCGCTCCGTGAGTCTGTTCGAGAAAAAAGAAAAAAAAATCGAGCTCGGTTACTGGGACGGTCCAAAGGTCTTGAAACCATCAGAAAATGGAGAAACTCTCTCAATATTAATGGGGGAGGGATGGGGGGGTTTAGAGGGCATGCAGTGGAGGGGGGGATAAACATACAAACTAAGAGGAGTCGACCATTCAGCCCTTCAGGCTTGCTCTGCCACTCCGTATGACTGTCCAACCCCAGACCCTGTTGCTTCCCCCTTTCTCCCCATGCCCTTTGACCCCGTTAGGCCCTCAGAACTACATGTAACCTCCTTGAAAACGTTCAGTGTTTTGGCCTCAACCGCTTGCCATAGAAGCGAATGCCACAGGCCTACCACTCTCTGGGTGAAGACATTTCCCTCCACCTCAGTCCTAAAGGCCTACCCCATATCCCGACAGGGATTGGAAGGGGGTTGGTGGGGGGGTTGAGATGAGGGTGGCGAGTGGGACGGGATGTGGCTGGGCGGAAGGGGTGGGTGAGGGGATTAGGTTGGGGGGGGGGCCCAGGATGTTGGAAAGTGGGGCGTGATGGAGGGGGCGGGGTCGGGGAAGGCTGGTGTCTCGGGATGGGAGCTGATGGAGGTGGTGACGGAGAGGGCAGGTCAGGGGTATAGGGCTGGACAGGGCAGCAGGGCTGACCAATGGTGGGAGGGGTGTTACAGGAAAGGGAGAGGGTAGGGGTGACAGAGTGTGGGTTTGAGAGATTTCAGGAGGCCTGCGGCGGGGTGAGGTGCATGATTAGAGGTGGGGAGGGAGGGGCTGCGATGGAAGTGACGACACGGGAACACTGGGATGCTGGGGCTGGGTGTGGGGTTTGCAGTTGGGGTGGCTTAACTAGCAAAAGGGTTGGGAATATCCCTGACTCGCAATATGAGCTTTCTCAGAGGGGCTATCATAGCGTCACAGAGATATACAGCATGTAAACAGACCCTTCGGTCCAACTCGTCCGTGCCGACCAGATATCCTAAATTAATCTAGTCCCGTTTGCCAACATTTAGACCATATCCCTCTAAACCCTTTCTATTCATGTACCCATCCAGATGCCTATTAAAATGTTGTAATTGTACCAGCCTCCACCACTTCCTCTGGTAACTCATTCCACATGTGCGTGAAAAGTTGGCCCTTAGGTCCCTTTTAAACCTATGCCCTCTAGTTCTGAACTCCCCTAATGTGGGGAAAAGACCTTGGCTATTCACCCTATCCATGCCCTTCATGACTTAATAAGCCTTTAGAAGGTCACTGCTCAGCCTCCGTCGCTCCAGGGAATATGGCCCTAGCCTATTCAGCCTCTCCCTATAGCTGAAACCCTCCAACCCCAGCAACATCCTTGTAAATCTTTTCTGAACCCTCCCAAGATTCCCAACATCTTTGCTATAGCAGGGAGACCAGAATTGCAAGCAATACTCCAAAAGTGGCCTGACCAATGTCCTGTACAGCTACAACGTGACCTCCCAACTCCTATGCTCAATGCACCGACCAATGAAGGCACGCGTACCAAACGCCCTGTCTGCCCGCGACCACACCCCCCCCCACTCCCCCGCACCTTGCACCCCAAGGCGCTTTGACCACGATCTGGGTTGGGAATGTTGCAAGGGAAGCCTCCGGCCTTGCTTTAGTGTCGCACGCGTTCTCAGCTCCGGTCCACTGCTGCCTCTTCCATCCTGCTTTCGATCCTTGCCACCAGCCTGAACATTCACCTACCCCTCCCCGTACAACCGCCCCGTCACTGAATTTTTCCGCACAGTGTGATCTTGGCAATCGGGGCCTAGCTTCGGTGCTTGCAAGGGGTAGTTGTGGTTCGGGGAGTGTGTGTGTGTGGGGGGTGGGGGGCGAAGAATTCCTGCCACGGGGGCGGGATGGAGGTTTTAAAAGGGTGCACAGCCGAGCGGTTGGTATATCTGTTCCCACTCCAATATTCACTGCCATACAGGGGTTAAACAGACAGTATGAATGTTTTGTCAAAAGCAAACAGGCAAATACTATTCCCTCCCCCAACCAACCCGAGGAACAGGTCAGGCCACTCGGCCCCTCGAGAGCCTGCTGCTCCACCCAGTCACGTCACGGTAGCTCAGCATCTCAATTCTATTTCCCATCTTTCCCGAACGGGAAAAAAAATCTAGAAATCGGAGTCTCAAAAGTTTAAACTGACTACCCCCTTGCCCCACCTGCCACTAATATTAACCTTAACATTATGTGGGATACGGAATTCCAAATTCCTGTTATCTTCGTATCGTCGCTAACTTTAAAATGTTGCCCCATTGCTCTGGGATCCCCAGCAAGAGGGAGGTTTTATCTGGGGCTCCATCAATACGTTGAGCCCCCATCGTTAAAATCAATCGCCTGGTCTCAACATCTTAGGCCGTCGAAGCTGAACTAAGCCTTTTACGTGCTGGCATTCTTCTTGTGGGTCCTAAGTGTGGATCCTCAAACAGGACATCTGCCACAGTGATGGTCCTCCGAGTGAACTGGGGGCAACAGCAGCCCTGCCCCTGGAAGACTCCCAGGTCAGGGGGGGAGGTGGGGGGCTTTCATGTTGACGAGGGTAGCATCAGACGGCAGGAAAGACGGGAACAAAATGTGCCGAAGTGCGAGCAAACCCACAAACCTCTGAGGGATCGAAGTGGGGTTGAGGTGGAGGACTGGTCAGGAATAGCAGGCCAGGTTCGAGGAGCTGGAGAGAGGAGGAGGAGGAGGCCATTCAGCCCGTCCTGGCTCCCAGCCAGAGCAAGCAAACTGGTCCCACGAGCATCCACCTCCTCCCCCCACCAATCCCGAATTCCTCCAGCTAGAAGCCCTGCAAATTTTCTTTCCAGACAATCATCCCGTTTCCTTCGGAAAACCACGATCGGAGCTGCCTCGACCACATGCACAGGTGGTTCCAGACCCTAACCCCTAACTGTGTGAAAGTTCACCTCCACATTACCTCTCTTCATTTTGCGAACCACCTTTTATTGGTGTCTTCTTAACTCTTGTGCCAATGGAAATGGGTTCTCTCGATCTGCTCTATCTAGAACCATCAGAGGCTTGAAAAGGCCCGTCCAACGTCCTCTCAACCTACCTCCCTTTTGCTAATAATAAAAAAATCACCACCTGCTCTGCTCCATCCATGAAGCTCCTCATCCCTGGGAAGTGTTCTCACAAATCTCCCTCCAATGCCTTCACATCCTTCCTAAAGTTCCCTTCCCAGAACTGGACACAGTGCTCCAGTTGAAGCCCAACCAGGATTTTATAAAGCTTCATTGTAACTTAATTACATTCGTACCATTTGCTTACAACCTACTCCATATCCCATTTATGTTCTTGCCTCGATTTTGAAGGGATATGTTTAGTGGAGGCAGGAGTTCCTTGCAGTCTGGGAAATTAGGCTTCCCCCAAAGGAAATTGATCTGCTTTAACAGTTGCCTCATGGTGCTGTAAAAAGCAGTTCAGCTGGTAAATAGGCAGAGTCTGAATGGTCGAACCCAAAGGTGACAGACATTCCTACTGGTTAATCCCTGGTTATTGAGTAACAAAGCAGAGTATTACATTTGGGCCTGTAAATCTGTTACTGTTGTTCCACTGAGTCATTCGGTTATTAAACAAAATGTTACAGGAAAGCAGTCAAACATTAAACCCCAAAGTTAGATATTTCCAAAACCAACTATGTCTCTGTCTGTTTATTCTACAGCTCGTGTGTAGAGTCGATTTTCACCGTAACATACACCTACAGCCAGTTTCTATAACACTTTCTTCGCACCTTTATAGTTGGGGAATGAGCCTTTGGCTTTTGCAGTAACATTCCTGACCGTGAGTCAAAATAGGAGTACAGGGAAAGAGAGACTTGAATTTATATAGCACCTTTCACTTCCTCAGGGTGTTCTAGACTCTTAACGTATCTCTTCCTTTGTCTTTTTTCATCAGACGTTAGCCCATCCCTAGTGCCCTTGAACTGATTGGTTTGCCAGGCATTATGGGGAGCAGTTACTATATTGTGGGGTGTCCTGGAGTCACGTTTAAGCCAGAGCGGGACATTTCTGCCTCTAAGGGGCATTAGCAAACTGGATGGGCTTTTAATAGCTTCCTTGGTGAATTTAACTACCTTGAACCCATATCCCCACAGCATTCACCTGGGCCTCTGGATTGCTGGTCCAGTGACAATGCCACTTGGCCACTATCTCTTCCTCCTCTGTGAACTTCTTCCCTACTCTCTCTCTCTCTCTCTTTCTTAAGCTTCGGCTTAAATCCACCATTTACTTTCGGTTTCCTGCCTTAAGATACCCTTCCTCCACCTGCTCGTAGGACTTTATCTGACGTGCACTCCCATAAACTGCCTGAGGGCATTTTACAACATCCCAAAAGATGCGACACAAAAGCCATTTGTAACTATATTTGAAAACAGAGCTTCTGGTCAGTCACTTACGACACACTCGGTGCCACAAAGGCACTAACCTCCTGCTGCTGGTGGGCTCAGATTTACAAAGACAAACAAACACACCGTAACTGCAAGGAAGGACATGTGTGAGACTTGAGGAAAATGGGTTAACTTCTTTTCTGCAGAGGAGCAAGCCAGCGGCACTGATCGGCAAAGAACTGACCAGGACACGACTGGAATGAAAGCAATTTAACTGGCATCTTAGTGACTCCCTCCCGCAAAATCGGAACAAAGTCCAGAGCGAAAGGAGGAAACTGTGGGGCTGTCGGAGACGGTGTAAATGGGGTGATGGGGAAACGAAGATTCAGGCGGCTGTATAAACCCGCAGCCGATCCCATTTGACACCACTTTCCAAGTGAGAGGCCTAACTGTTCTCCAAGTGAGAGGCCTAACTGTTCTCTCCTGTGGGCGGCACAGTGGCTCAGTGGTTAGCGCCGCTGCCTCACAGGGCCAGGGACCCCGGGTTCGATTCCGCATCTCGGGCGACTGTCTGTGTGGAGTTTGCACGTTGCCTGCGTGGGTTTCCCTCGGGGTGCTCCGGTTTCCTCCCACAGTCCAAAAGGACGTGCAGTTGAGGTGGATTGGCCGCCCTCAGTTGCAGGGTTGCAGGGTTACAGGGCAGGGGATCGGGATGCTCTTCGCAGACTCGACGGGCTGAATGGCCTGCTTCCACGCTGTAGGGATTCTATGATTCTCCCTCCACTAGACAGTGGGCCCTGCCTGCCTGCCTCACCCACCAAAGCTACACTGTCACCTCCTAAAACCTGTGAGTGACGCTGACAAGTAGGACAAGGAGCGACAGCGCCTACAAATTCATTGCTCGCCGCGTGGCTCGGAAACACGCTGCCCGTCTGTTCATCATCACCGGGTTAAAATTTCCCATCTGCACCCCCCTCCGGCCCCTCCCTAAGGACACGTTTGGGGTCGCCTTCGGCACAAAGACAGCAGCCTCTCATGGGAGCAGTGTTCCGCCATCATCCGACAGGCGAGGGAGGGGGGGGGTCTGTCCAGTCACACCCACAGCACCGCCCGACCCCCCACCAGGCATTCGCGACGAAACAATCCGGCCCAGCGGCTGCACTTTTCATTTCCGAGCCGGCAAATCACGGCCGGAAAGTCCCGAAGCACTTGCGGTGCTGCTATCCTTCGGGGTAGGCCTTAAAACCACGTGCCCCTGAACTGAAGGCTTCGGTCTCTGGGAGAGTAGGCCTCAAACCCGCGAGGGGTCCAGGCCTCGGGGCCAAAAGCCAGCGACGACTGCAGTTTTGAACCGAGACCGCCACACCCTCGTTCCTCCCCCAACCCCCCCCAAAACTTTAACGGCGGAGGAGATGCGGTAGCCAGTCCACGCACAGCAAGATCCACGTAGGCCGTGTCGTGACACGCAGCCTGACGACTGAAGGGTAACTCACGATTAGCGGGAGGGTCTGAGAAAAGAGGGTGGACATACTGCTGAGGCTGCACAGAGAGCAAAGTGCCCGATGGTGGGGTGGGGTGGGGGAGGTGGTTGGGGAGGATTATATCGGCTGGTTTCAGAGGAAACCGGATGAAGATATGCCAGATAAAGCCTTTGAAGGGAATGAAAGCTGGAATTGTAAACTTTTCTTTTTAAAAAAAAACTCCCAGACCACCCAGACAGACCAAAAGGTTTCTGGTGTTCCCCTGCGTCAGTGAGCGGACACACACGCACCTTACTCTAAAGCCAGCCAAACGGGAACACGGAGGGTTCAAATCAGAGCAAGTTACCGTTTCTCACTTCAAGATCTCGAATTCCTTCAAAAGGACAATACCTTGAATCTTGGCATGCAGGGCCTGAATCTGTTCAGCTTGCTTCTGGGTAGTTACTTTGAGATGTTGGTTTTCGAACTCCAGCTTCAAAATTCAAAAGAAGAACGCACCACAATGAGATGGGAAGGAAGGAAGGAAGGAAACGTGCATTCATATGGCGCCTTTCACCTCCGTCAAGCGCGCAAAAGGCCTAGCAGCCACCGAGGAGGTTCCGAATCACGGGGCCTCAATGTTTCCACTTTTATTCCGCAACCCCCCACCTCCCCCCACCCCAACCATCCCACTTTCCACTTTGGAGAGGGTGCAGTGCAGTTCGCGACACTGTGATCCCAAACGCCCCAGCTATATTGGAGATGTATCCAATGACGAGGGCACCGCGAGGGTAATTCAGAAAATGCCTTAGTAACCTCCACAGGCCTCCGACCTCTGACCTCGGCTGCGTGGATTCCTGTTAGCACCCACCAGCTACGTGCCCCCTCGATCCCAGCCCTCCTCGCCGGCAGCACACAGGAAGGCATTGCCCGATGTTAGCCATCTACCTGTCTGTGTAGGGGGAGAGAGGAAGGGAACTAATAAGGGTGACTCTTTGCTGGAGGGTTGGGAGTGAAGGGGATTGGCAGAGCAGGCAGGCGGCAATCAGACAGCGAGGAAAGGGAAGAACCGGGAACAAACGGCTTTCCGGGGAAACTGGGATGGATCTGGAAAACCCACCCACCCAAAGTTTGATTATTTATTTTATTCATTTGCGGGATGAGGGCGTCGCTGGCTCGGGAGGCATTTATTACCCAGAGGGCAGTTAAGAGTCAACCATATTGCTGTGGGCCTGGAGTCACATGTAGGCCAGACCAGGTAAGGATGGCAGTTTCCTTCCCTAAAGGACATTGGTGAACCGGTTGGGATTTTCCCCGACAAATCGGCAATGGATTCACGGTCATCATTAGATTCTTAATTCCAGATATTTTGTTGAATTCACATTGCGCCATCTGCTGTGGCAGCTTGGCCTGGCTAGAAAGGCTCAAAGCAACGAGGGTCAGTCTGCACGGCAACTCCAGGCTGGAGAAACAGGCAGGACCCAGATGAGGCGTTTTGAGACATTTGGGTCAGGTCGGAGGAGAGAAACTAAATCCTCTGAGCGAAGACCAGAACCAGGAGCCTCGACTGTTAACACCAGATCGTTCAGGAAAAACCTCCCTCCCAGGAAGTACGGTGGATATCTGGAGAAGGGAGCGGGAGGGGGAGGGAATGCAAACAAGGAGCGTGACCTCCGGCCGAACGGCTAAGTCTGGGCTTGCGGTGTTCAATAATATTTTGACATCCTCGGCCAGGAATGTACGTTAATCATCTGATGATACGAGCGGGGTGGGGGGGGTCAAGGAATGTGCCGAGATTCCGGGACAATGATGTATTGCCTGGACGCAGCACTTGGTGGGACTGTGAACTCAAATCTCTGGAGGGCAGCAGGTTTGTCCCCTTCGGCGTACCGTAGTTGCCCGAACTGGAGGTT